CAGCTTAGCCGGGTCTCCTACCACATTTCGGTTAGGTTACCAAGGGAGTTGGGTCCGGTTTTCACAAAAGTTCGGGTTGGGATTTCCTACAGGTTCTGGTCGGGATCTCCAGTGAAAATCTCTCCAGCGAAGTTCTTGTTAGGATCTCCAGAGAAGTCTGGTCTAGGATCTCCCAGCCAAGGTCTCTCGCTAGGTCTGTCTCTAGGGTTCTGTCTCCTGTTGTCTTGTTCCATCTGTATTTATCCCAGTGATTTTAATCCTGTCAATTTCTATCCCAAAGGTTAAGGGCGTTGTTTTCTTATCTCCATTCCAGTGAGTAAAGATTTATGTAGCTTAAGCGTGGTTGTTCTTAGTTAAAGTGATTAACTACCCCGCCTGGCACTCAGTCAAGGGGTCTCATTCCCTCCCTAACTTCAGGGAAGAATCCCTACCTGGGGAAACAACCCCCCTCAGAGAGATGACCCTGGCTAAAACACATAGCGCCAAGAAGGGGAGCAAACATATTAAGAACAGTATGCCATATACGCCAGGTCCCTTGAAACACATGCTGCGCAGATGTTTCTTCTCTGCAGCGACTGTGTCAAGCAGCAAGGATGGACCGGCTCCCGGCAACATATGTTGAATAAATATTAATTCCTGCTTATAAAATGGATCAAAATCTTTTACCATGAAGTGTCTGAACCTAAATGAGTTTCATTTGCTACATTTCACAGGGATCGGTTACTCAGGTTTATGTTTTCTGAGTATGAACTTTCTGATATAAGAACAAAGTTCTTCACTTCATATGTATGTTCTTTACTTCATGTGTCTAACACAGTCTTGAAAATATTTTTCTTTAATAGAAATCCAACAAACCTACTTATTTTTTCAATTTATAAGTCTGAACTTATATTACCATCTCACTGAGTCTCACATCTGAGATATTTCCAGACACTACAAAACAAAACAAAAAATAAACAAGACCTTTGAGTACATAATACTTTTTCCTTTCAGTTGAAGATTAAGCCATGTTTTATTCAAAACACAAAGATGGAAGCACCACAAGTTTAAGTTTGATCCATTTATTATTTTGTCACTTATGGGTACATCCTTACATTTCTCTACCTGAAATCCCAATGATGTTTTTTTTTTTATTTGCAACATGTGTCCACCTCCAGTTTCCCTGTGCTGAAATGTTTGTCATTGAAATATGAGGTATCTCTCAGGAAACAGTGGTGATGTGTAGGATGAAATGTTTGAACATTTCTTACATCACGTAAAAATTCCTTGTGAAATGCTACTAGATATAGTCCTTCATTATATTTAAAGAGCTTGAAATTTCCATTTTATGTACAATAGGGAAAAGAAACAAGTGGATTATATAAAATTTAAGTGTAATTAAAAATAAAATGTATCTTAAACATTTATAGTACAAATTTTGCAAAACTTCATATGAGCCACGCAATCTTAGAAATTATTGTAAAACTGCTTTTGTTCTTTTTTCTCCATTTTCCATAAGGCAATTGCTCAGGTATTTTTCTCTTTGTATTATATGAAATTAGCCTTTAGCTAAAGAACAGTGATAATAAATGAGGACCGCCAGAGCCTCAAAAGGTGATATTGAAGGAAAAAAAAGATAAAAGCAGAAGTTCAAACATTAAAATTCTAATTAACATTGGATGGAATCAACTTAAACCTGGTAAATCAATTTCCAAAAAACCAAGCACTTATTCTCCTTTACTTTTATATCCAATAACTGCGTCAAACCTAACATTGATCTTCCGTTTTAATACTGCCAGGAAACGCTCAGGAAAGATCCTAAAAGAAAGATATATATATATATAAATATAATTAATATCAAGTGCATTTTTAAGATATCTTCTCTTAAAATACTTTTGTTTATCATGCATCATGTCCATGTTCATTTTAAACAAGATTAAGAATTTTAACACATAATCACTACTATATGTTCTTTCCAATTAAATCCATTTTCTTTTCATAAGGAAAAGAAAGGTTTAATTATTTTGAGTAGAAGTGACTTGAAATGTTTGTTTTTAAAAATAAATATATTCTATATTTTTCAAAAGATCTGTGAGAGGTGTATAGAACTGAATAGTTGAGATGCTAAAAGCTTTATTTAAAAACAAAACAAAACCACAGCCCTAACTGGTTTGGCTCAGTTGGATCTGAGCGTCGGCCTGCGGACTGAAGGGTCCCAGGTTCGATTCCGGTCAAGGGCATGTACCTTGGTTGCAGGCACATCCCCAGTAGGGGGAGTGCAGGAGGCAGCTGATCGATGTTTCTCTCTCATCGATGTTTCTAACTCTCCCTTTCCCTTCTTCTCTGTGAAAAATCAGTAAAATATATTTAAAAAACAAAAAACAAAAAAAACCCCCACACACCTGACATTGGAAAAGAAGTGAGAATAGGAACTAATTTTATACTTTATAATCCAGTATACTACCAAAATGGCCCACTAAGAGACTGGGGAATCCGAACTGCTCAATAAAATGCAGACAATACACTTGGTTTTCAGCATAATGCTGAACAAGTTATTTAACTTTTGAGTTTAAATTCCTCACATGTAAATAGAAAAAATTAACACCTACCCCACAGTGTTATTTGAAGATTCAATGTGTTAATATAAAATGCCTTACACACAGTGATAGACATCCAGTAGGTCTAATTTTTTTCTCCCCACTCTACAGTTAAAAATATTGAGGAACAGGTCATATTCCAATGAGTCTGAGAGAAACTAAAGAGACTATGTAAGTCAGTAAAACTATACACAGACATCTGCCTGGATGGCATTCAAATACAGTTTGGAAATGGAGCACTGAACACTCATAGTCAGAGGAAAATCAGGCAATGGTAATAGTGGTAATTATAAAAGTAACAATGATAGATAACATTTATTGAGTATTTATAGGGTACTGAATACTTTAAATGCCTTATTTTATTTATTCCTCATAGCCCAATAAGTCTTATTGTTGCCTCCATGTGACAGATGAAAAGACTGAGCTTCAAAAAAGTTAAATAACTCATTCATGTTCACGTTGCAAGCAAGTCACACAAACACAGCTTCGCCTAACTCCAGAGCACAAACCTTGAGTCTCTATGTTAAAGGTTTAGGAAACAGAATTAACTTATTCAATCAGCAAATATTTTGATGCCTGGAATGTGTCTATCCACTCTTCCAAGTGCAGGGGATATAGTGAGGAAAACAGGCCAAATTCCTTCCCTCACAGAGTTATATTCTAAAGCATTGTAATCACCGAGTGCCTACTTCGGTGATGTGACAAGTCGAATGCTAAACACCTCAAAGGTTTTAAGTTGTTTACCCACCAAGGAGATGCTCTGGCTTTACTACCGAAACCTGTAAAGTATGTTCAACCATAGTCCCTTAGCAGAAGGGGCTACAAACCTGACATCTGCCCAAATGCTTTTGGTCTCTTACATTTTTTTCTGTCTCTAGGTCTGTAGTTCTCAAAGAATGATCTTTGAACCAATTGCTTGTGGCAATTGCCTGTTAAAATACAGATTTCTGGGTCCCAACTATATTAAAATCTCAAGAGGTGAGGAATCTATTTTTTAAATATATATGATATTTAAAATTTTCTTTTAGAGAGGGAGGAAAGAAACATCAATTGGCTGCCTTCTGCACGTCATCTACTGGGGATCGAGGCTGCAAGCTGGTCATGTGCCCTGACCAGAATCGAACCAGTGACCTTCTGATGCACCGACCAGGGCAGGAATCTATTTTTTAAATTGACTTCCCCACTGATCCTGATACCCTACTATGAGGGAGAAGCTGGACTCTAGGAACAGGAAGAGTTTGTTTTTTTTTTAACCTTAGGCGCCTCTTCCGTTTCCCCTCATTACCTGACCAGCCTCACTGTCACACAGCTTTCCCAGATGAGTGATGAGGCAATGTTTATGATGAGGCATTCTTTAAACCAAAGCTTTCCAATCTTGACATTACATTAGAATTACCGGGAAAGTGTTGTATCTCTCAGACACCAGGCCACACTCCAGACCAATTAACTCAGAATCTTGGGGAGTAGGTCTCAGGCACGAGCATGTTTAAAACTCCCAGGTGAATTCCAATGTGCACCTAAATTGAGAGTTACTACTCTAAAGAAATGCTTCTAAATCTAATATGCATGCAGATCACCTGTGGATCTTATTAAAATGCAAATTCTGATTCAGGAGATCAGGATATCCTGTATTTCTAACAAGCTCCCAGGTGATGTGGATGCTGCTGGCCCGTGGGCCACATCTGAGGTAGCGAGGCTCGAGGACCTCTACAATTATTTAGCAATTCCTGTGCTTCAGTATGATTTTGCACAAAAATAAGGGCTCAATGATTATCTTGTATATTTAAATCCTATATAATAAAAGGCTAATATGCAAATCGACTGAACAGCGGAACGACCAGTTGCTATGACGCACACTGACCACCAGGGGGCATACGCTCAACACAGGAGCTACCTCTTGGTGGTCAGTGCGCTCCCACAGGGGGAGGGCCACTCAGCCAGAAGCTGGGCTCATGGCTGGTGAACACAGCAGTGGTGGTGGGAACCTCTCCTGCCTCTGCGGCAGCGCTAAGGATGTCCAACTGCTGTCAGTCAGACATCTCCCAAGAGCTCCTGGACTGCGAGAGGGTGCAGACCTGGCTGAGGGGACACGCCCCCCCTCCCGCGAGTGCACAAATTTCATGCACCGGGCCTCTAGTGAATAAATAAAACTTAACTATGGTCTCCTCCAATATCATTGTCCTATTATGTACTAATGTTTAAAAATAGTCTTTCTTCATATTTATTCATTTATAAGATAAGACTTCCAAAATATTTAAAAAATTAAATATATAAAAATTTAAAGAAATTTCTTTAAAAAAAACAACACATAAAAACTTGTGGAAATTATTCAGTTCATTTACCCAATTGCTACACTAATTTTGCTTCAATAACTAACAAATGTAGTTTAAAAATTGGTGGATTCTTTAAACCTATTATTTTTGTTAACTTAATTCCATTTCATTGTACTTTACAAAGATTTGGTCTTAAATCTGAGTAAAAACATGTAGGATGAATATTCATAATGCTGGCAAACATAACTGTTGCTTACCTTTCCACCACTGTCATAGCGCTTATAGAAGATGGAACAAAAATCATTTTCTGGTCAGTCAGGACTCCCTTCATCAGCTTGCTCACCACTTCCTCAGGTTCCAGGGTGGGTCCCAAACTGAAATCAGAAGCAAATCATTTCACAGAGGCTTCAGCTTTAGTTTAGTGCTAAACAAATACGTTATGTTACTATAGAAACCGTAACCTAACTGACTTGTGGCATCTAGCCCATTCTAGATACTCAAAGATGGTAGCTGCTTTGGCACTAATAACAACAACAACCATTTACATAGTGTTTATCATGTACTGCCCACTGTGCTAAACATTTTCCACAGGTTATCTCCTTGAAGTTTTACAACACCCTATGAGGGAGAGACTATAGTCCCTATTATGCAAATGAGGAGTATAAAGGTAACTAAGACTCAAAAAATAATTTAGCTCGATTAAGACTGATAAATTCACTTTTAAATCTTTAGAAGCTTTGGGAAAGAAGTCAGACACCATTATGCAAGTGTTATTATATACTAAGATGTTTTAGTGAATAATTTCTAAAGTGTCAAGGAATTAAAATACAGGAATGTGTCTGGCTCTAGGTCCTTGACGTCTATATGGAACCCTAATATGGCTTTGATGATCTAACTTCACCACTTTATTAGGTCTTTGTTTCATTTCCAGTGTTGTTACTTAGTTCCATGTTACATCTTCACTGTGTAATCAATCACCCTGGCATATGTTCTACTGAGTAGTATGCAATCCTTAAAAAGTGACCTTTGTTATCTGGGTGATAGAATAAATGCACTTAGGATGGAGTTGCACAAGAGTTGGTCCTGAGTTTTTTTTTTTTTTTTAAATATATTTTATTGATTTTTTACAGAGAGGAAGGGAGAGAGATAGAGAGTTAGAAACATCGATGAGAGAGAAACATCGACCAGCTGCCTCCTGCACATCTCCTACTGGGGATGTGCCCGCAACCCAGGTACATGCCCTTGACCGGAATCGAACCTGGGACCTTTCAGTCCGCAGGCCGACGCTCTATCCACTGAGCCAAACCGGTTTCGGCATGGTCCTGAGTTTTTAACATTTTACTAATGATTTAGAAAAAAAAGATACATAATTAAATAAACTTCTCCAATTTGCCAATGTCACCAAACTGGGTGACTAAAATTTTGGGGAGGCAGATGTTTAGTTAAGAGAAGTGAGACAAAAAGAATTGGATGAGATTCCTTATGAACAAATACAGAATAGCTCATTCAGACAGATAAAATATGCAGTAAAGGTGGGACAAATGAGAAAAGTAGTATTGTACCCAGCCGGTGTGGCTCAGTGGTTGAGCTTTGACCCATGAACCAGGAGGTTGCGGGCTTGATCCACAGTAGGGGCATGCAGGAGGCAGCCTATCAATGATTCTCTCTCATCATTGATGTTCTCTCTCTCTCTCTCCCTCTCTCCCCGCTTCATTCTCTTAAAATCAATGGAAAAATTATCCTCAGGTAAGGATTAACCAAAAAGAAAAAAAGAATAAGGCGAAGGAGTTCTTTATATATCAACACAAAAAGCTAACAACAGCATATTGGTTTTTATTTTTGTGTGTGTGTACTTATGGTATTTTTCCTTTTTAGTAAATTTTATTTTTCAATTATAGTTCACATTCGATATTATTTTGTATTAGGTGTACAACATAGTGGTTAGGCAATCATATAGTATTTTACAAAGTGTTCCCCCCAATATTTCCAGTACCCACCTAGTACCATACATAGTTATTACAATACTAGAGGCCCAGCGCACGATTGATATCGTGCGAGGAGGCACCCTGCAGGCCACCGCGGGAGTCAGGCTGGACGGGTGCCGTGGGAGTCAGGCTGGACCTACGTCACAGGCAGCAGGGACCTGTGCCTGACTTCCGCACCAGGCCTCCCTGGCCCCCTGGCCTGTGTCCGCTCTGGGCCACGGAGTCACCACACCGGCTTGGGCAAGCCCCCGTCTCTTTCTCCGTCTCCACTCCGGGCCTCACCTGCGTGTGCAACCTCCTCCTGTCTGGTCATGACCCTTTATGGCGTCCTGGCTTAATTTGCATGTTACCTCTTTATATATATAGATTATTGACTATATTTCTTATGCTGTACTTTACCTCCCATGACTATTTTGAAACTACCAGTTTGTACTTCTTAATTCCCTCACCTTTTTTACCCAGTTTTGTTTTATATTCTTTAGATTCCACATATATGTGATATCATGTTATTTGTTTTTGACTGACTTATTTCACTTAGCATAATACCCTCCAGAACAATCCATACTGTTGCAAATGGTAAGATTTCATTCTTTTTATGGCAAGTAATATTTCATTGTATATATGTACCAGAGCTTTTTTACCCACTTGTCTATTGATGGGCGCTTGGGTTCCTTCCATATCTTGGCCATTGTAAATAACACAACAACAGCATATTGTTAAATAAAAAGGGCAGCTTACAGAATAGTATGTATGTTTCCATGTACCAGAAAAAGAAATGCATTAAATTAAGAAGTGTAGACTCTTAAATTGGGAAGCTATAATTTTCTTAATTCTTCCAAGTTTCTGTTTGTCCATAAAATGAGCATAGTAATACTTATCTTGCAGAATTGTTAGAAGGATTAGGGCAGGGTTAGGCAAACTATGGGGCCAAATTTAGGTGAGAAGTAATTTATGTAAAGTATCCAGACCCAGTAGGGTACCTGTATTTAGTAGACCTTCAATAAATACTTTTAATAAAATGATCTCTTGATATCCAAGTTCATTTAACAAAAATAATTCTTAGCAGTCAAAATTAATCAGAACACCTGATTACACTTAATTCCAATAATTATAGTAAATTATAAATTTATAAATAGCAAACTAGTTTCTCTATAGTGTGTTAGATGTGTAAATATAAGAACCAACAGCCCTGGCTGGTATGGCTCAGTTGGTTGGAGCATCATCTAGTACACCTAAAGGCTGCAAGTTCAATTCCTGGTCAGGCACATACCTAGGTTGCAGGTTGGATACCCATGGGGACTCGTACAAGAGGCAATTGATTGATGTTTCTCTCTCACATCAATGTTTCTCTCTCTTTCCTTCCCTCTCTCCCTCCCTACCCCTCTCTCTGCCTTCCTTTCTCTCTAAAAGCAATAAACATATCTTTAGGTGAGGATTAGAAAACAACAACAATAAACTACACCTTTGATGTGCTTTAAAGGAGAATTTCAGTTCCAATATTAGTAAGACACAAATTATTTTGAATAGTCATTTAGAGGTTGGTTCCGTTTCCTTCTTTCAGAAAGGTTGTCCTCTGTGCAAAAAGGAAAAAGTTTGGTCTGTATCTCAGTTCTGCTACTTACAGGCAAGTTACTTGATCTCTCTGAGCAAAATATTGTGGTGAGGTTTAAGAAAATTACAGATTTGCCCAGCTGGTGTGGCTCAGTGGTTGAGCGTTGACCTATGAACCAGGAGGTCATGGTTTGATTCCTAGTCAGGGCACATGCCCGGGTTGCAGACTTGATCCCCAGTAGGAGGCATGCAGGAGGCAGCCAATCAATGATTCTCTTTCATCATTAATGCTTCTACCTCTCCCTCCCTCTCCCTCTCTGAAATCAATAAAAAAATATTTTTAAAAAAGAAAATTACAGATTTTATTTAGTGTACAAAATATAAACGAGTAAGATCTGTCTGTCCTCGAATCAGAAGTAAATTTCTAGATTAAAACCAACTTCACCTTAGGCATCCACTCTAGTATCTGGTTATCTTCAAAGGGGTCCATGGAGCAGGACCAAGCCCCAGACCTTTTCTTAGCCAGGTTATATTCCTGTGACTCGGTTAGAATCCTGTGGGCTTCTATTCATTTCCCCCCCAACCCCCCAACCCTCCAGCAAGCTTCCCAGTTATTTTTCAATTGTACTAGTAGAGCTCTGCCAAAAGAGGGTACCCCAGCCCAGACCTACTGACACCGAACCTGCATTCAGAAGATCTTCGAGGAACCTGAGAGGCACATTCAAGTCTAAGCTTTGTGCAGCCCCGTTCTGGGGGCAAGGGTAAAAAATCCAATTATAATTTTTAAAAATATGCTGTCTGTTTTTAACTGCTGAAAGACAGTTTGAGAAAAACTTGACTCAAATATATTATTTTAGTACCTAAATTCTGAAATAATGGAGGAAATTGGCAAATTCTATCCTTGGGTATGATACCTCTTCCTTTGACACCCCCTTTCAGTTTAGTGAACTATTTGAATTAATTTTTATTGAGACATAATTGAAATATTACATGGTGTAAGTTTAAGGTGTACTACGTGTTGATTTGATATAGTTACATATTGCAGGATGATTATCACTGTAGCATGAGCATAATTATGTCATGTCACATAATTATTATTTCTTTTTTGTGGTGGGAACAGTTAAGATCCAACTTCTTAGAAACTTTGAAGTGTTTAATACAGTATTGTCCATAAACATAATGCTGAGGGAAGTGAGCAGTTTACTTACTGTTTCTAGAACCCCACGTGTGATATATGCTAGTTACATACAATTTAGACATTTAACCTGTACATAGGGAAATGTCTAGAAGGATGTTCATCGAAATGTTGAGTAGTGTCCACTGGATAGAAGGTTTTAAGAAATTTCAAAACAAAACCTTTTTATTTGTACATTCCTGTGTGTTGGAATTTTTTAAAAGTATACATTATGTTTACAAAGACATTAAAGCTATTCCCAAAGACAGGAAACATTAAAATTAACCTCAGAGCAGATCCTTACAATTTTACTTTTTAACCAAGGAAACACGATAGTCTGGTACTTCCTTTAGAAGATTAGCTCTAGATTACCAAAGGAAAGTGTTTCTCACAGTGTGGTCCTCATTTATTTCCATCAAAATGACCTATGGAGCTTGTTAAACATACACAGTTCCAAGTCCCCAACCCAACTACTAACTACCCCATCCCAACCAAACCGAGTAAAAATCAGCATCCCTGGGGGTGGGTCCTCTACATGGTTCCCAAGCACTCATGTTGAAATGTGTATCTACTTAAGTCAGGAACCACTGCAGCGGTTCTCAACCTGTGGGTCGCGACCCCTTTGGCGGTCGAAAGACCCTTTCACAGGGGTCGCCTAAGACCATCCTGCATATCAGATATTTACATTACGATTCATATCAGTAGCAACATTACAGTTATGAAGTAGCAACGAAAATAATTTTATGGTTGGGTCACAACATGAGGAACTGTATCTAAAGGGCCAGAAGGTTGAGAACCATTGGCAGTGATGGCGAACCTATGACACGCGTGTCAGAGGTGACACGCAAACTCATTTTTTTGGTTGATTTTTCTTTGTTAAATGGCATTTAAATATATAAAATAAATATCAAAAATATAAGTCTTTGTTTTACTATGGTTGCAAATATCAAAAAATTTCTGTATGTGACACGGCACCAGAGTTAAGTTAGGGTTTTTCAAAATGCTGACACACCGAGCTCAAAAGGTTCGCCATCACTGGCTTAGGGGAAGGAAAAAAGGGAGGAGTAGCAGGTTCACCTGTGTCATTCATACAAACACTTGTATACATTCTCTCCCTCTTTCTTTGTCTCTACACCTGTTTTCACACAATCTACAGAGGCTGAAATTGAGATGAGCTAAGGGCATTGAATACCAGGTATTTAAAGGATTAAAATACTGAAGAAACCCCACAGAATGGCTCATTCTCATGTAATCGCCAACCCTTTTATCTCCATTTCTGTCTCAGCTTACCTGGTACTTGGGTTTTTGATGAAGCCGGTGTTTATGAAATTAGGGCAGAGACATGATGTTTTGACTCCAGTTCTGCCTAAGGCCACCAGTTCTTCAGTCAAAGCTCTGTGAAATCCCACAGCAGCAAACTTGCTGGAACTGAAAATACACAGAGAGAGGTCGCTGCATTTTCAAGAAATAATTCAAGAAAGCTGCTGCTTCTATGTAATTCAGAGATCTGTTTTCCTTAGTGAAGTGCGGTCCCCTGCTGAGAAGCGTGTTCAGCACCTGGATCTCAAAAACGCCCAGCCCAGACCTACTGACACAGAACCTGCATTCAGAAGATCCTTGGGGAAACTGAGGCACGTTCAAGTCTAAGAAGCACTGACAGGCCTGGCGGGTGTGGCTCGGTGCTTGAGCATTGACCTAGGAACCAGGAGGTCACTGTTCCATTCCTGGTCAGGGCATATGCGCCGGTTGAGGGCTCAGTCCCCAGTGGCCTGAGGTGGGGTGCATGCAGGAAGCAGCTGATCAATGATTCTTTCCCATCACTGATGTTTCTGTCTCCCTCTCCTTCTCCCTCTCCCTTCCTCTCTGAAATCAATAAAAATAAAAAAAGAAGCAGTGACTGCACCCCAACATCATTTATCAGAGTGATATCTGAGTATATTTAAATGTTTCATTAGGAAAATTGGTAGGGTGCTTGTTTTGTTGTTGCTGTTTCCATAAAATTTAATGACACTGTAGGCTGCTCATTATTTAATATGTTCATGAAATTCATTGGAAAATTCTCCTGCATAGTTCTATTCTTCCTTTAAGTCTCAGCTGGACTTCCTCAAAGAGGCCTTTCCTAAACCCTGGTCTAAATTATTTCCCCATCTATACTAATGAAAGGGTAATATGCTAATTAGACCGGGAGACCTTCTGGACAAAGCCATGGTGGCGGGGCCGAGGAAGAGGTGGTTAGGGGCAATCAGGCTGGCAACTGCCCCCAATCAGGCAGTTGTGGGCGAGCAGGCCAGCAAGATCAGCTGCCTCCTGCACTCTCCCTAGTGGGGATGTGCCCAAACCAAGGTACATGCCCTTGACCAGAATCAAACCTGGGACCATTCAGTCCGAAGGCCGACACTCTATCCACTGAGCCAAACCAGTTAGGGCCGTACAGAATATTTTTTATTTTATATAACTGAACTAGCAATCTTTTCTTTTGAAGCCTTCAATATATGTCTAAGCTTAAAAAGAAAAACTGACAGAGAACTTTCTATTTTCCAAAGCACAGTGTTAGTTGGCAGCCTTTTTGGAAGACAATTTGGCAAAAGGTATCAAATTCATTAAAACATGCTATGCTCTTAGATCCGGTGATTTCTCTTTTAAGTATCCTAAGGACATAATCAATCATATTTCTAAAGGTTTATTCAAGGATAGTCCCTGGGTACACAGTTCATGAAGGCAAATAGTTAAAAACAATATTTAATTAAATTAATTAATTTAGGTAACACTGACTTATACCATTATATAAGTTTAGGTATGCAACATTATCAGTCAACATCTGTATAGACTACATTGTGCTCACCACCAAAGTCTAGTTTCCATCCGTAACCATACAACTGACCCCCTTTACCTGTTTCACCCTCTTCCCACCTTCTCGTCCTCTGGTAACCACCAATCTGTTGTCTGCCTTGATGAATTTGTTTATTTTGTTCTTGTACGTGGAAACAATTTTAAATGTCTGGAGTGGACAGCTGTTGTTTTTGCTCATTGGCATTCATATTCCCTTATTCTGCAACGTCATTCTGACTTTGCCTACCCATTCAGTGGTTGGATCCAAGCTGGTCTGATTAGAGTGAACTCTAGAGCCAGAACCTTTTAAGGCATCACTGGGAAGTCAGGCTTCTCCCAACCTGCCGGACTCAGAGTTGAATGGATGCCCTTCTGGAACTGCTGGTAGCTAACTTGCCAAAGAGAAGGAAAGCCTGCCTGAGACTTTAATCACGGAGGCAAAAAAAGTCCTCTTTGGCCTGGGCCAGTTTAAGTTTTGTGTTCCTTGCAGCTGAAAGAGTCCAGGCACGGCACCTTAGTGATGGCAAAAACATCGGGGAAGGAGGCTGGACCCTTAAACTTTGCAGAGGAGAGTAGACCTGTTAACTCCGACTTTTTGTGTGACAGAGAATTTATCTTGCTGAAATCACTTTTATTTTGAGCCATTCTATTTCATCTGTTGAACTGGTAATCTAATTAAACAAATGGTCACCAAAAACAGTAACACATTTTATTAGATTTTGATATGATACTGGGGAACGAGCAGCGGATGATAATCAGCTGAGAGGAACTTCAACCAGGTTCCTGGGTAGAGAGCACCTACCTGAGTTTCCCAATGAAAAAATGAAATCAGTTTAATGAAAAAATATAATCCTCTCAACAATAAGGGAAAAAATGTAAAAAATATATAAATGTTAAAAAAAGAGTCCAGCCCTAGCTGGTTTGGCTCAGTGGATAGAGCGTCGGCCTGTGGACTGAAGGGTCCCAGGTTCGATTCTGGCCAAGGGCACATGCCTAGGTTGCGGATTTGATCCCTAGTAGGGGGCATGCAGGAGGCAGGCGATTAATGATTCTCTCTCATCATTGATGTTTCTATCTCTCTATCCCTCTCTCTTCTGCTCTAAAATAATATATATATATGAAGAGTCCAGACAAATGGACCCAACAATAATGGATAAATTAAATAAACAGTTGCATACCATGCAGGAATTGAAGATGATGTAGCATATATACATTTATTAACAGGCAAAAAGTTCATTTTAAAGTTTTAAAAAAGCAAGATCATGTGTGTAGATTTTTTTTTTAATGCATGATTATATATCTGCATTGAAAATGCCCTAACCGGGCCAGTGTGCTCAGTGGTTGAGCATTGACCTGTGAACCAGGAGGTCTCAGTCCGATTCCTGGTCAGGACACAAGCCCAGGTTTCAAGCTAGGAGGCAGCCGATCAATGATTCTCTCTCATTGATGTTTCTATCTCTCCCTTCCTCTCTCTGAAATCAATAAAAACATATTTAAAATAAATAAATAAATAAAATGCACTAAAAAAGTATAACAAATGCTTACCAAGGTTTTTTCTGCATGGTGAAATTATCAGTAATTTTTTTTTTCTTTTACTGAAGTGTATTTTCTGATTTTTCTTAAGCGAATCAAGAATGCAGGAATATATTAAAACTCAGAGCTAATGATCTTGAATGTGTTAAAATAATCTTATGGTTTTGAACTTTAGGTTGAGTGCGTTTTTTTTCTGCACTTTGTAACAGTATATCAAATTTCTTGTTCTTAGTAATCTGAATTAGTATTTCTTATTCCAAATTACTTTTTTAAATAACATTTCATTACGAGCTAATGATCAGAACTCAGTTTCACCTTGTCTTCCCACAATGCTAACTTTCATGCTTATAAATTGGCTATTTGAATTGACAAGATGTATTCGCCAGAGTTTCACGGCACCAAATTGCTTTCTTTTTAAAAATCAAGACACTTTTGGACAAAATACTTAGTGAGCAGCAAAAGAACGTAATCAAAGGATTAACCTCTCTCGTCATGAAGTCAGTTTTTCCATCTTGCTTTTTTTCACATTAATCATTAAAACTGTTGAACTATAAATCCAAAAGAAATTGACCTTTTTTTCCCTAATATAGGTGAGCAGAGCTGTAATAGATGCCTTTGCCATGGCTGCAGCAACTCAGGATAATGACAGCTGAAGGCTGGATTGCAGGGCCTCAAACAGGCAATTCTAGGTCCCCTCTGATTTCATTCTAACAAATAGGAGCAGAGCACATATGACTCATTCCACTAGGGCAGCGGTTCTCAACCTGTGGGTCACTACCCCTTTGGTGGTCGAACGACCCTTTCACAGGGATTGCCTAAGACCATCCTGCATATCAGATATTTACATTACGATTCATAACAGTAGCAACATTACAGTTATGAAGTAGCAACGAAAATAATTTTATGGTTGGGTCACAACATGAGGAACTGTATTTAAAGGGCCAGAAGGTTGAGAACCACTGCACTAGGGCAAAACATTTTGGAAGCTAAAATGAGAGGTGGGTTCTTACCATTTGTGTGAACAGAGAGAAGTGGAATTGGAACAGAAAATCTATAGGAACCCTCCTGTTATTGAACACTTGCAAAATTCCAGATACTATGCATCCTGATGAGTTAGTTAGTTGCTATGGTTAGCATTAAGTTACGGATGAGGAAAATGACGCATATATAAGTTGAGTAACTTGCCAAAGGTCACATAAGGCTAGTTAAGTGATTAAGTCAAGATTCCAAACATCATTATTCATAGTAATCATGCCCTGTAAACAATACAAATGTTCATCAACGGTGGTAGGATAATAAATTATTGTCTACTTATATGATGCAATACTAGATGGGCATAAAAGTGATTAAACTACAGCTACCAACAACAACATGGATAAATCTCACAAACATAGTGTGCTTCCATGTATATAAAGATAAAAAATAGGCAAAATTAATCGATGGTATAACAAGTCAATATAGGAGTTTCCTCTGGGAAGGAAAGAGGAATTGGTGGTTGGGAGGAGGAAATTCTGTAAAGTTCTGTTTTTGACCTGCATGGAGGTTAAATAGCTGCATCCACTCTGCAGTAACTCATTGAGCTGTACACTCATGATTTCTGCATTTTTATAAGTGTATGTTACACTTCAGTTTATGTTTTAAAAAGCAGCATCTCAGTTTAACCACCCAGTTGGTGATAACAACAACTGATAAACATTGTTTTCTGCTGGGTGAAGTCTTGCGTGTGTCTCTGTGAAAGCTCTGCCATTGATCTGATATTGAGCAAAAACCAGAGTCAACTGAATTTAAGATAATTGTGGTCAATAAGGATCACAGACTGCATCTCAGGCCAGTGAGAGCTGAGGGTCTAACAGGAGTCCTGCGAGGGCAAGCACAGCACAGGTCTGTCCCCAAGCTGGAAGTGTACAAACCACCCGTGTAGCTGCAACCTGCCTTTTAAGGAGCCCAAATGGCGCCCCTGTGTGAATTAGGAAAGGCCACTTCTCTTCTCAAGTTATTTTACTGCCTATACATCTGGAAAATCATTCAAGTCTAAAAGGACCTGACATGAGCAGCGCCCCCTAGAATTGTGTAGCGCACAATCTGCACAACCGGGTACGTTGCTCCTGCTCCGACAATACCTGGTAAGAACCTTTACTTCTGTTGAGAGCACCATCACTAGTCACCACAATAAATCTGTTTCTCACACAAAGCACATCCTCGCTTGACTTTCACTGTAAACCTCAGTGGGGTAGAACCAAATCAGAATCAGAAGAACTACAATATTTACTATGGCAAGGGAAGGAGGAAGTGCAACAGGCCCTGTTACGTTCCCTAATTAGCTGGGACTAAGACGGAATTTGGCAGGGCGGTGGCATGTCATGTGCTAGCTTAGCAGCAGCACTTGCAACTGTCTTTCATCAAGGAAGTAAATGCATATACAATTGTGTTAGCCCTTGATGGTAGGGGCCAATCTTCTAAGTTAAACTGACCCTGAAAGAGATAAGACAAGGACTGTAGATCTGTTCTGTGACTGCCTCAGCAGTTATTTCATCTTTTTTTTTTTAAAAACTCAATCCATGTCTATATTTATTTTTTAAACTATTATAAAACAAATAAATGGTCAGAAAGGAAGAAAGAAAACATAGATGAACAAAAATAATAAAATAAAAATCATTTTTATTGCCGTTACCTAAGATTAACCACTCTCTAGCTGTGGTTAGATAAATGGTTTGGTATATATCTTTGCAAACTTATGTATTAATTTTTTTGTGGTTAAGCCTCACCCAAGGACATTTTTTCCATTGATTATTTTAAAAGAGAGAGTGAAAGGGAGGAAGGGAAAAGAGAGAGAAGGAGACAGAAAAAGAGAAACATTGATGCTGAGAGAATCACATCAATTGGTTGCCTCCCATACACTCCCCGACCAGGGCTGGGGATTAACCTGCAACCCAGCCACGTGCCCCTGACTGGGAATCGAACCTGAGACCCTTTGGTGCTTGGGCTGACACTCTAACTACTTATCTACACCAGTCAGGGCTAATATTATTAATATTAACTTCTGTTCATGGTATTGCTCTTATTTTATAATTCCTTGCTGCTAAAACAGATAAGAAATGTTGAAGCAGTTGGCTTCTAATTGGATAATTTCCCTGTAGCCACCACTAGCGTGGTCAACATAGTAGGAGTTTATGGTTGATAATGTTGTTGCACAAGAGATCTTGTGCAACAAAGCTAAGCATAGCAACCAATGAAAAAACACATGTTCACTTACCAATATGCCATTAAAAAGGGAACTGTGGTATGCCCAGCTGCTGAAGCCACAGTGACAATATGGCCATGATTATTCCTCATCATCGCTGGAAGAAATGCCTTGGTGGTCTAGAAATAGTTATTATAAAACAGAAAAAAAAATTTATTTCTGATTTGCAGACCCATTGGGAATATTTTGAAACAAAGATACATTCTGTTAACATTGTTCCTGACATAAATTAAAATACCTAGATTAATTGCCAAATGTGGCAACACAAGGCAATTGGATAGGATGCCAGATTAGAAAAATTAAGGTAAACCATGGATACTGAAAACTTTAAGAATGCATTTCATGTAAATTGCGAACAACTTATGTCCACTGGTCCTCCACCTTTTGTTAATGATATATTCTATCGTAATGTGAAATTGTTAGGAAAGAGTTTGCCATAAAAATATTGAAGTGAACAGCAATCTTCCAATAGTCAATGAATGATCCACACAATACTTATTGAGCACCTGCTATGTGATGGGGATTCAGCAACAAGTAAGGCAATACCATACATTCCAAAAGAGGCAGGAAGATAAGCAGATTCCTAAGTCATTAAAATACAGATAGGTGTGCCCTGGCCGGTTTGGCTTGGTGAATATAGAGCATCGGCCTGCGGACTGAAGGGTCCCAGGTTCGATTCTGGTCAAGGGCACATGCCAGGGTTGCAGGATCAATCCCCAGTAGGGGGTGTGCAGGAGGCAGCCGATCAATGATTCTCTCTCATCATTGATGTTTCTATCTCTCTCCCCCTCTTCCTTCCTCTCTGAAATCAATAAAAATATTTTTAAAAAATACAGTTAAGTGTCAACAACTTGGGAATGTTAACATAACATAATACTGCATTTTTACCAACTAACTCCAATATTCTTTTGAGATTACTCATCCCAAACTCTCACCCAAGAAAACATTCAGGGGCCCTTTAAGGAACTGGCTATTTGGGCAGTAGACCCCTCAGAAACTCTGTGTGTGTGTGTGTGTGTGTAAGACCTTGAATGGTGAGTTTCATAATAAAGTTTGCATTTGGGGCCAGGATATAACGGGAGGCCTGGGTCTCATGAGAATCAAAAAGCAAACTGGGTTTCCCTTTTATAGAACCACAGCAGATAACTTAGAGTATCCCTAATCCCTTCTTCATCTTTAAACAGACAGAGACATGAGAATCTAGCTTAGAATTAAAACATAAATACCACCTGAGGTTTATTACTATTTATTATTATTAATATTTTTTGAGGGGGGAGGAAAAATAACTGATGAAATTTGGTTGTAGCAAAAAGGAAAATGATCTCACCCTAGCCAGTTTGGCTCAATGGATAGAGCATCAGCCTGAGGACTGAAGGGTCCCAGGTTCGATTCTGGCCAGGGGCACGTGCCCCGGTTGTGGGCTCGATCCCCTGTAGGGGGCATGCAGGAGGCAGCCAATCAATGATCCTCTCTCATCATTGATGTTTCTATCTCTCTTCCTCTCCCTTCCTTTCTGAAAGCAATTAAAATATATTTTAAAAAAATTATCTTTTTGTATATTATCCCTGGTACCTAACTAAAACTTTAGTATTGAGTTGATATGTCCTTATCTCTAATGAAAGCTTCACTTTAAACTTAATCTTTGAGTCTTACAAGAAGACTCAAAGAAATTGTAAAAGAAATCATACTTACCCAGAAATGTGCAAGTACATTAACTTCAAAAGTTTTTTCAATTTGAGGGTCTTGTGTAGCAAACAAATCTGATGTATAGACCACACCAGCATTATTTACCAGAATGCTAACATCTCCAACTTCTGTCTTCACCTTTAAAAATAAAATAAGAAAAATATCTGCATCATTAAGAAGTATGCAGGTAGGTTTGCATGCAATGATTACTTTAAAAAGTGTGTGTGTTTTTTTATTAGCTGTGGGGGAAATAGGTAGTTTTGAATCTATGTGCCAACATGAAAAAAAGAACCTTTTAATCTTAGGTACTTAATTTCAAAATAACTCTGCTTGTACATTTTCTTTTGCAACTTAGTCTCTTGACTTTGCTCTATTGATTATAGCTCTGGAGGCATTTGGCTAACAAAAACATAACCAGTGACAAATAAGCAACTTTCTTTTTAAAATACTACTTTAAAAGGTAAGAAAAAAAAGGTTAATTAATTGTCAAGTGTAGGGACTATTATGAGGAACTCTGTAAAAATGATTACACCATTAAACTAACTACATCCTCTATTTGTTTTTATGGTCACTCCATTCTATTGCTCTCCAACCTTTCTCCATGAAGTTGCAGTAGACTTAAGGGCTAGCAATGCCAGAATATCTTATTCAATATTTCAGGCTGCTTGGTGGAGGGAACCCTAGAGTCACAATGCAATTCGTTATACATTGTGTTCCAAACAAAAGCAAGCCTCTATTAATAGAGCCATCTTTATTTAGATATTGCTGTGGTGTCTTGGGGAACTGAGACAACTAGCCTATTAAAAGCTTTCACATATGTACTTGCTATGCATTTTACAGAATTTCACTATCTCATTTAACTCTCACAATGATCCTATGAGATAGCAACTCTTAGTATGCTCATTCTAATGAGAAACATGAAACCCAGAATGGTTCACTTTCTTGCCAAAGGTCACATGGAGCTGGGACTCTCCCAGATATACTGACCTCAGAGACCAAGACACATCTTAAACCTCAAACAGAGGGGAAGTCAGGAGGGTGAGGCCCATCACCATCCCAGAAGGACATCAGTTCCTCAGCCAGACTGAGTTTCATCAGGTTGTATTAAATTGTTAGAGTCAAGCTAAGTTATTTTGGTCCTTAATCAACACATTTTTGTACCTATATCCACATCTCTAGCACAATAGGAAAACTGTTATTTAGAATAATGCCCCTAAGTTATGAGAAAAACAGGACACTTTCTGTGATTGAATTGATGAAGCTGCTGTAATGCCTCCAAATTAACATGACTCAAACTATAAATTACTGTTTCATATTGCCAAAGTATTTGCTCAGACCCCCTGACCCTTCCTTCATCCTCCCCATCGTCACCCATGGTCTCCCCCCAGGATGAGAATGTTGACTTGAACATTTCTTAATAATGAAAGTGAGCCTAGAGCTTTATTGTTTAGGTGGTGTAAAAGTGTCCTGATATCAAAACAGCCACATCAAAATAGCTACTTCAAAATATCTGGTAATCATACGTCATTGTGTGTACTCTGTTTAAGCACACAGTTAGTTCATCTTAGGACAATTTCAGTGAAAACACTATGTTTAAAATACATGGAATGGTTTCAAATAATAAAGTTATCTCTCCCAGAAAAGCCTATTCCCAAATGAGTCTGGAAATGAATGTGTTCCCTTTAGGTAACTAACGCTCCTAAATCCCCTTAATATTGGCTGATAACAAAGTTATCTACACTAATAAAAGAGAAACATGGTAATTAGCGTACGACCACTACCCTTCCCATTGGCTAATCAGCATATCCTTATGCAAATTAACTGTCAGCCAAGATGGCAGCCGGCAGCCAGGCAGCTGGAAGCGAACATGAGGCTTGCTTGCTCCAGGGACTGCAGACTCCAACGTTCCCCGCCTGACTTGCCGGCCTCTGAGCTGGCAGTTTGAAACATTCTAACAAATATAGAAGGCTGGGATCTCAGAGCTGGAGTTATACATTGTTTCGATTATAGAAGGCTCAGCAGCAGAAGCCTCAGAGCTAGAGCCAGAGCTAAGCTGGCCCAGAATAAAATAAAAAAAAGAGAAAAAAAAGGAGCAGTTGGGAGCTTCAGTCAACAACCACCAGCCTGAAAGCAGCCCTCAGCCCCTCACCCAGACTGGCCAGGCACCCCAGTGGGGACCCCCACCCTGAAGGGTGTGTGACCAGCTGCAAACAGCCATCATCCCCTCATGCAGGCTGGCCAGGCACCCCAGTGGGGACCCCCACCCTGATCCAGGACACCCTTCAGGGCAAACCAGCCGGCCCCCAGGCCTCTATCCTATATAGTAAAAGGGTAATATGCCTCCTAGCACCGGGATCAGCGGAGCCTCGAGGCCTCCTGGCACCGGATCAGCGTGACAGGGGGCAGCGCCCAAACCCCCTGATCGCCCTGTGGCTCTGTGTGTGACAGGGTGTGGCATCCCAACCCCCTGATCGGCCCTGCTCTGTGTGTGACAGGGTAGAGCCATAACCTCCCCATCAGCCCTGCCCTGAGTGTGACAGTGGCGGTGCCCCAACCCCCTGATCGGCCCTGCTCTGTGGGTGATAGAGAGCGGCGCCCCAACCCCCTGATCCGCCCTGCTCTGTGTGTGACAGGGGGCGGTGCCCTAACTCCCCTATCAGCCCTACTCTGTGCATGACAGGGGGGAGCTCCCCAACCCCCTGATGGGCCCTGCTCTGTGTGTGACAGGGGGTGGCTCCCCAACCCCCTGATGGGCCCTGCTCTGTGTGTGACAGGGGGTGGCACCGCAACCTCCCCATCAACCCTGCCTTGAGTGTGACAGGGGGCGGTGCCCCAACCCCCCAATCAGCCCTACCCTGAGCGTGACTGAGGGTGGCATCACAATCTCCCAATCCGCCCTGCTCTGTGCATGACAGGGGGCGGCGCCCCAACTCCCCAATCAGCCCTGCTCTGAGCCTGACCAGGGGCTGCACCTAGGGATTGGGCGTGCCCTCTGCCACCCAGGAGCAGGCCTAAGCCAGCAGGTCGTTATCTCCTGAGGGGTCCCAGACTGCGAGAGGGCACAGGCCGGGCTGAGGGACCTCCCTCCCCCCGAGTGCACAAATTTTTGTGCACCGGGCCTCTAGTATAGATTATATTGGTGATTCTATTATTGTTAGCAGAGGTAGCTAGATGTTCATAAAGGTCAGGAGCAAAAGGAACCAGACCTTATTCAGCCCAATAAACCAGGGAGCTGACACGAGCAACAGCCTGCTTGCTTTATTAGGAAGTTACAGCTTCACACACTCCCCAGGGTATCCTCTACCCTCAGAGACCGAGTACCCCCAAACAGGCCCCCATTTCCACTAGCAACATTGCAACACTAATAACTAACTAATTCTGGCCAAGTGACTACTGAGCACCAGGTATTGTTCTAATAACTTTACATCATTCATTCATTTACTCCTCATAACAACCCTATGAGGTAGGGATTGCTGTGATCCCCATTTTATAACTGAGGAAAGTTGGGCACAAAGAGGTTGGGTAACTTGCCCAAGGTGATAAAGCCAGTATTAACTGGAAGAGCACTCATCTCTATGAAGGAAAATCATTATTAATGTAAGTAAACTCGTTATTGTGAGGAATGCAGATGTTTCTTACCCTGGAAGGCCATTTCGCACCACTAGCCTGGGTAATGTCTACCGATTATACTGACCTAGCGAAGGCCTAACCAACAATAGGGGCATCCGTTTGAAATAAAAAATTATAATTTAAAATAGAAGTTAAAGATGTTCTCAAAACTAAAATTCAAGAGGTTCTCAAGTCTTGGTGGAATCAGAATATCCAGGGGTGAGGTCCAGGAAGGTCTATTTTAAGGAAGTTGCCCAGATAATTCTACTGGCATTCCTACTATTACCATATTTAGTTAACAAGCATATTTATGAATGTGCTCAGAAGAAACCCCATTATATATAGCACAGCTCAGTTATGTATAGATGAGGCAAATACTGCTTTATAGAAATAGGTCTATGCTCGAAGACTGATGAACAGTTATCCTATCCTCCTAACTGAGTTCTTTGACTGGAGTTCAGAAGACTCTGTTAGTGATTCTGCAGTGTCATCCAAGGATTTACCTGTATCAGAATCAGATGGCGAGGAGTGGGTGCAAGGGTACTAAACATTCAAATTCCTGGGCCCAGCCCTCGACCCACTGAAAGGGGTGCTTATTTTTTTTTAAACAAGCTCCCTGGAAGATTGCGCAACACATTAAAGTCTGGGAACCTCAGTTCTGGGCTTTAGTTCTGGGTCTGCCACTAGCTAGCTGTACAACTTTGGGCAAATCACCAACTTCTGTTAGTTTCTCTGCATCATGATTGGGCCATCTCCAAAATCCCTCCCAGTCCTGTCACAATATGATTCTAACCAAATGTAAAAAGTCACCTTCTTTGCTGAACTGTAAATATCTTCTCGGTTGCTGCAGTCTACCACAAAGGCATGCGCTTGTGCACCCAGTTTCCTGCATTCAGCAGCTGTTTCCTCAATTCCATGCTAGGAAAAGCAACAGAGAGGCAGGAGAATACAATAATGGTGAGCAAATTATATCAACAGCTGAAAATAATTAAGGGGAGTCAGATTCTTTGAACTGGGACTGGGCAAAAATTCCACTGACACATTTTTGACAATGCTTTGAAGAGCTTCTTTTAGTTGGAAGTGAATTTAAAGCAAGCTTTGAAAAATAAGATAAAAATCTTAAAATACTAATTTTGTATTATTAATTTTACATTGTGAATGCATATATGTATGAGTGTATATTCCATAATAGGCTTTAAAAAATAACACTAAGCTTTTTTTCTTCTCTGTCACTAAAAGCTACTCATGGACATCAATTTTCTGGCTGCAAAATAAATAAGGAGTTAACTATAATTCATTCATTCATTCACTCATTCCTCCAACATTTTAATGTGTAGGTCATATTCATGGTGCTTAGAAGAGCCCTGTAGACACAAATATGAACGAGTCAGAGTCCTAACCTCAGTGAGTTCAGTGTTGTAGAAAAAAATAAAATAAGTATAATAATTAGGTAGGACCATACGAAATTCTTATTTTTAAATTTTTTTGTTAATCCTCACCCAAGAATATTCTTTCCCACTGATTTTTAGAGAGTGGATGGGAGAGGGGGAGGGGAAGAAAGAGAGAGAGAGAGAAACATGTATATGAGAGAAGCACATTGTGCCCGACCCAAGATGGGGATTGAACCTGCAAATAAGGTACTTGCTCTGGACCCGGAATCAAACCCACAACCCTTTGGTGTATAGGCCCATGCTTTAAACACTGAACCATGACAGCCAGGATGAAACTTTATTACTGTTTTAGAATAAAGGATTGAATATTGGCAGTTTCATATGGTTCAAGCTAACATATTGTGTAAGTATATTAACAGAGCTACATAGAGTTACGGGAACACAGAGAAGGGGCACGCAGTACAATTTCAGAAGAGGAGGTACCTGAGTTGGGTCTTAAAAGTGAGTAGAACAGCTATGCAAAGAGAGGGCAGGGCACGCCAGGCAGAATGTAAGTAAAGGAGAAAGATCCTCTGGGGAAGCATTAGGAGATTGGTGATGCTGGGTCATAAGGTTCAAGGCCAGCGGAAGCCCAAATTAAAGGGCATTATATGTCATAGTAAGTGCGCACTATTTGGCATATACCGTGTGGCAGACCTTGTGCTTTGTGTGCATTATCTAATATAATCCTTGCAGTACTATTATTTTAAGGTAAGTACTATTATTTTATCCATTTTTCAGAAAAGGAACCTAAAGCTCTAGGGCAGCGGTTCTCAACCTGTGTGTCGCGACCCCTTTGGGGGTCGAACGACCCTTTCACAGGGGTCGCCTAAGACCATCGGAAAACACATATATAATTACATATTGTTTTTGTGATTAATCACTATGCTTTAATTATGTTCAATTTGTAACAATGAAAATACATCCTGCATATCAGATATTTACATTACGATTCATGACAGTAGCAAAATTACAGTTATGAAGTAGCAACGAAAATAATTTTATGGTTGGGGGTCACCATAACATGAGGAACTGTGTTAAAGGGTCCCGGCATTAGGAAGGTTGAGAACCACTGCTCTAGGGAGTTACCCAGGGTATTGGGTAAGTTATCCATGAAGAAGTAGAGAAGTCAGATGAGTCTGTCCACACCCTACCAGACACTTCCTTGACAGCACCAGACTAGGCTGGGCCTAGTTTGTATTTTTCATTTATATGTAATTATTTAATGTCTATTTTCCTTACTATAGTGACGGCATCTGACCCTGCTCCTGTTTGACCTGTGTTCCTAAAATCTAGGCAACAGATACTCTGGAAATACTTGTTGATAGCTCTCTCAATTAGCCACGCACTGGGTTGGCCTTGCCGATCATCTAACTTCACATCCCATGAATTCTTGTTTACATCATTGTAACTAATGGTAAGGTATGGCATTTCAGGCCAGCAGGTGCTTCCAGGAACCTCTTTGTACATCAATGACAGCCAAGAAAAAGTTAAGATTTTAGCCCTGGCCCATGTAGCTCAGTTGGTTGAGCATCCTCCCATGCACCAAGAGGTCACAGCAGGCCCGCGGGCCGATCCCCAGTAGGGAGCGTGCAGGAAGCAGCAGATTCATGTTTCTCTCCCTCTCCCTTCCTCTCAAAAATCAATAAAAAATATATATATACATATATAAATATATTTTTTTTGAAGAAAAAAAGGTAAGATTCTAAGTACCCCTCTCTTCCTTAAGCCTATTCTGGTAAAAATTACATTCAAGTTCTTCCTTAAGCCTATTCTGGTAAAAATGTGATTTTTAAAAAAATATATTTTATTGATTTTTTTACATAGAGGAAAGGAGAGGGATAGAGAGTTAGAAACATCGATCAGCTGCCTCCTGCACACCTCCTACTGGGGATGTGCCCGCAACCAAGGTACATGCCCCTGACCGGAATTGAACCTGGGACCTTCAAGTCCGCAGGCCGAGCTCTTTCCACTGAGCCAAACCAGTTAGGGCTAAAATGTGATTTTTTAAAAAGTACTCTTGGAAATTACTATGGCATAGTAATATTGCTTTCTGTTGGGTATCTTAAACCCACTTACCTCAGTTAACTGCAGGTAGGATTTTTTTCTTAATAGGTACAAACCTCTTACTCTTTTGTCATACTAGCTAAAACTATTACTTCTTCCATATGATGAAGATTAAGGGGTCAGTGAAATCAAGTTGAGGAGGAAATTACAAATTACTTTCAGGGCAAAAGTGAGGATAAATTTACAATGTCAAATGGGCAGCAACTGAGAATCTTATCCTCTAGGTCCATTTATCACATGATCATAAACACATTAATTAATCCATGTTTCCCCCCATCTATAACTTGGCAATAGTAATTTGTTCTACCTCCTTCACAGAGAGGCTGTAAGGGGTTGTTGCCTGCAACATGCACACATGTCCACAGATTACAGGTACCAGAAAGGAAGACAGTAAAGCACCATTATTACCTTATTTATATCCCACAGAACCAGTTTGCTTTTAAGTTTGGCAAATTCATAGGCCGTCAGTCTCCCGATTCCATGCCCAGCTCCCGTAATCAGGACGATTTCTCCAGTGACTGATTTCCTCTTCTTAGGAATAAAAGACTTCATGAGAGATTCTAAGATGAAGACGAGCAGTAAGGGCAGAAGCAGGAGGCAGTCCAGAACGAATTTTATCATTTTTGTTGCTGCGAGGATTGGGTATGTTTACCAATCACTCTAAATTGCTGAAGGGGATGGGAGGGTTGTTCCGTCTAACCCTAGGGAGAGTAAGAGCCAGAGCAAGGCAGGGCTTCTTTATCAAAGAGAAACAAACAACCCTGAAACCATTCCTTCCGCTGGGCTGGGCTTGGTTAGGTCCTTCGCAATTGGCTCGGGCTGCAGCGCGGAGCCACTGCTCGCCAGCGCGGAAATCTGGGAGGGACAAGTCCGAGGAGAGCAAAAGCCAAAGTCGTCTTTCACCCACTCCCTCCCGACCTCCTGAGCCGAAGCCCGAGGGTTCCTAGCCGCCCGTTTTCCTAAATTGGATACATTCCTCTTAAAGTTGCAAGGATAATTGACAGGGTCCGCAGCCCAGATGCTTCTGTGAAACTTGATGGTTGCCCATTACTACTAGTTAGCGATGCAAATATCGTTGTCTGTCATAAATGAACCTGGGGGAGGGCCAGTTGTCCTGCTCCCGGCTGAGAAATGATGCTGCATCACATTTTAGTTTGGGGGACAGAGGAAAACTTGTCCTTTCTTGGGACAACAATAATCAAGACGCAGGAAATACCTGATCATATTAAAGGGGATTGTTTCCACAAGGAAGAGCTGTATATTTGCCATCAGTTCTCAACCTGTGGGTCGCGACCCTTTCACAGGGGTCGCCTAAGACCATCCTGCATATCAGATATTTACATTACGATTCATAGCAGTAGCAACATCACAGTTAGGAAGTAGCAACGAAAATAATTTTATGGTTGGGTCACAAGATGAGGAACTGAATTTAAAGGGCCAGAAGGTTGAGAACTACTGGATAACCCCTTTCACTCACCCTATTAGAATTTGTGAAAAAAACATATGTTACAATTTAGGAATTGTGTATTTATCCAGGTTAATAAATTACTGCCCACAGAATGGGTAATAAACTAGAAAGAAAATTTTTGTCTCAAAATTGTAATTTTTGGTTTAGTAGCCTATATATGTGAGAAGTCAATATGTCACTGGTGATTTTTTTTTTAATCCTAGTGATTGGTTATTGAAAGAAAAGACCAAACTCTGGGCTTGTGTGCAGTAAGAGCTTAATGTCTCTTGCATGTATTTTTTCAATTCAGTTTTTGACAGTAATTTTATTGGGACTTTTTGCAATACATTACAGTCTCTTCTTAGGAAGAAACTTCTGTTAGGAGGGGCACTAATGGTTACCCTTTTATGTTTAAGAGGCAGGAAAACAGCAAGAAATGGAAGTTCCCAACGAATTCATACTCCTTCCTCACTTTGGCAGCCCTACACTGTTAGAGGGAGGAAGGGGTTGTGACAGTCCTGCTAAGGCAGAACACTGTGGAGTTCTTGGAAGTTCTGAATCTCAACTGCAACTCTTTCTTATGCCCCCCAAATCCAAGCTTACAAAGGTACATGCATATCAATAGAAAGTTTCCAGTTTCCAGAGCTTTTTTCTCCATCTATTATTTCATTTGATGTTCAAAAAGCCTTCTAGGAAGTACAGAAGAAAAATTTTTCTCCTTATTTTATAAACGAATAAATCAGTTAGATTGACTATTAAAGCTCCCACAGCAAGTAAAAATGTGAAGCTAGATATAGGGTCAGTATTTATTAAACTTTTTTTGCCCAATACCTATAGGAAGAAACCACATTTTCCATGGTGACCTAGTGTATGTATGTGTTTGCTTTTGTGTATGTTGACTTTAATATATACTGAGGCTCAGACTATTTTTTTCTATTAAAAATTTGTATTAAGTAAAAACTGGGTAGTTTTCATTCACTAAGTTGACCAAGGAAAGAATCCAAGAAACATTCATCCCTGAATCCCAAATGTGTATGTGACTTCACCTCCCTGAGCATGTGTTCTAATTTGTAAAACTGGGATGCTACTAGTACTCACTATACAGGATTCTTGTGAAGTTCAAAATGTTAACATAAAGCACAGTACTTTATCTACTGTTCAACTCTATATAAATTATAATTAACACTAATATAATTATAATCTGAATGGTTTTGTGAGTGATGGTTAGCTACTGATCTGATACAGTGGTAAAGTACATGACTTTATTACAGTATATTCGTGATTTTAAAAAATACCTGTTACCCTGGCTGGTGTTTCCCAGTGGTTAGAACATCTGCCCTCACACTGAAGGGTCTTGGGTTCAATTCCCCATCAAGGGCACCTACTTGGGTTGCAGGTTTCATCCTGGCCCGGATTAGGGGGTGGAGGGCGGTTCTGCAGGAGACAACAAATGTGTCTCTCTCAAATCAAGTTTCTCTCTCTCCCCCCTTTCTTCCCTCCCTTCCACTTTCTAAAAATCAATGAAAATATATTCTTGGGTGAGGATTAAAAAGAAAGGAAAAGAAAAAAATTTAAAAATACCTTTCATTAGGAGAGTTTAACATGTTTTATATGTGCAACATCTTAATTTCATGCTGCCTTCCCACCTATTGAAGTGGCATTAAAAAGAATAAGGGGTTCCTCAACAATGTTTTGAGCACTTACTATGAATGGCCAGCCATTATGCTGAATGTCCACATAACCTACACGGTTCACTTTATCCTCTCGATAACCTTAAGCAGTAGGTTCAGTTAGGAACTCTGTTATACGAATGAAAAAATAAAGGATTAAGAGAAATTCAGCAAATCATCTGAGGTCATAGTATAAATGGTAGAGCTGAATTTAAGCCTAGGCCAATATGACTGTGCTAGATTGCCTTCTTTCTTAGGGCAAAAAAGAAAAATTAATCCAGTTCTAGATCACTGTGAAAATCTAAAAGGATCAAAACTCCCACTATTCATAACTCCAACAACATTCATAACACCTCCTTCTCATGTGATTAGGTCACTTAACTGACTAATTAGCAGGCAACAGAGTGCAGCTGTAAAAACAATGAGTTTTAATTCCTATCAAGGGTTTTATTAGTTACTAGAGGCCCACTGCATGAAGATTCATGCAAGAATGGGCCTTCCTTCCCCTGGCTGCCGGCACCGCCTTCGCTCTGGCCAGGAGCCGCCTTTCCGCCTTCCCACACTGCCCAGAGGCCCCGCCCCCGGCCGCTCGGCTCCTGTGTACGTAAATTAACCTGCCATCTTTGTTGGGTTAATTTGCATACTCCTGATTGACTGGTGGGCGTCATGGAGGTACTCTTTTATTAGTGTAGATGTGATATCTGGTTAATTAATTACCCTCACCTGAGGTCTTAGTTATTTCATCTGTAAAATGGATATAATAATAACTTGGTGGGGGCGGGGGAGCGGGTAAGAGATCAACCAAAGGACTTGTATACATGCATATAAGCAAACCAATAGACACAGATACAGATACTAGGGAGGTGAGGGCATGTGCGGGGGAGGAGGGGGTGGGTGGGGGGAGGTCAATGGGGGAAAAGGACATATATGTAATACTATATGTAATACTTTAAACAAAACAAAAATAAATAAAAATACTGCTAAAAAATGCTAAAAAAACAAAACAAAAAAACCCAACCAAACAAAAAGTAACAGCTTGGTTTAGTAAGTGAGATATTTAAACAGCACAGAGCATGACATCTTACATACAGATGTACCTGATGAATGGTAGCTGTTACCATAGCTGAACTGGTCTTCTGTAAGGCTGTGGCTCTATAGAATCCTAGTGGATTCAGGACAAAAGGCCACCCTACTTAGCAATTGCACAGCCATTCTTCTCCCCATTGCTCTAGAAAACGCTGAGGAAGCACATCCAGAAGTGATAGCTGAAGGAGGAACTTCAAAGAGCTCTCCTGTCACCCGGGGATAGAAGCCTCCACACTTGGCTCTGAGGTCTGGATTTGAGAGCTGGAGGGAGTTAGATGTTAGCTTGTCCAGCCACATCTGGCTTTTCTTTTTTCCAAGTAATGAATCTATGAATTCAAAGTAGTGAGTATATCTGGTTTAAACACGATTCAGCAGGGCAGATATTAAAAACGCACAGTCTGACTTTTGTCTGGCTCCTCAGATCAACGACTTTTAGTCCATTTAGCTGTCTATTACAGAGGTGACTTAAAAGCCTCTAATAAAGGCTTTCAATGCCATGTCCTGGTTAATCAATATCAATCAGCTGAGGTTGTAGCTTACTCTTTCCCTAATTCCCTCTTCCCTCTACATACAGGGTGTCTCAAAAAATGTATACAGGTTGTACACACTTTAACAGCTGATAGCTCACAATTGATGTTGCCTTTCAGATTTAACCCATTGGAATTAATAATTATTCAAAGAGTGTATACATTTTTTGGGACACCCCATATATTCCCAATATAATTATGTCATTATCTTTGCTACTTTTATAAGGTTATATTTTAAACGTTTACACTTTTTTTTGTCTTATTCCAGCAACTACCTGCTGAAATTATTGGCTTCAATTTTATTTATTTATTTATTTATTTATTTATTTAAAATATATCTTTATTGATTTCAGAGAGGAAGGGAGAGGGAGATAGAAACATCAATGATGAGAGAGAATCATTGATCGGCTGCCTCCTGCACACCCCCTATGAGGGACGGAGCCCGCAACCCAGGCATGTGCCCTTGACTGGAATCAAACCCATGACTCTTCAGTCTGCAGGCTGACACTCTATCCACTGAGCCAAACTGGCTAGGGCGGCCTCGATTTTATAAGAGGAGGGTATGCCCTGTTCTTTTCCTCAGCTGTCCATTTCTACCTCCCAGCTCCCATTTTCTGCACATTTACTTTCACAATGCCAGGACTGATAATATGTACTTCCCATTTTGTAACTGTAACATCTCCTGTGCTTGGTCTATTGGTTGACTCTGAAAGCTGAGTCAACAAATAGCATTCATATTCTTAGGACTAACGACAGTAGCCTTCCTCAGCGTGATGCTGCTCATTGGGCTGGACCAGAGGAAATCACTGCCATCTCGAAACTGTTCATCACACGGCAGCATCGTGTCAGAGCAAACGCTCTGCAGTTAGGGTGGAGTTCCAGCTCTGTTACATTCTAGATGTGTGAGTTTGGACAGGTCATTTATATTCCTTGTGCCTCAGTTTCCTTATCTATAAAATATCACTAAGTACCCTGTAGGATTGTCAAGAGGATTAAAAGAGTTAGTCTTTATCAAGTATTAAAAAAAAATGCCGGTCCATTG